TGGCCGCCAGATTTAGTGCAATCCATGTCGAGTGTCAGTGGCTTTGCGCTCGTGCTGAAGAACAAAGTCTTGGTCGACGCTCTCATCCAATCAGTGAATTGCAGGGACCAAATGCTGATCCGCAGCGATGTGCAAGTGTCGGATGAGATTGGGAAGGGTCTGCGCGACAAAGTAGGTGAAGTGCAGAAGCTCCTCTACGAAATGGTCCATCGAACTGCTTCTGAGATGAAAGCAGTCCTAGCGCCGACAGAAGGCAGCAAAGTCAATGTTGACATGGCGGCGGATTTTCAGGGCATGGATATTCTAAAGAATATGATCACACTCGCAAGGGCATTTCAAGTGTCTAGGCTGAACTCGTGATTGTGGCTTTTACCTCCGGACAATTCCGATTCTTCGATGAAAAACACATTTTACATTTTCAATACAATCCCAAACAGCAACTCACTCTAATTTACTTTACTGTAAGTTCAATTCTCATTCAGTTTCAGGTGGAGATGTGGAAATCCATCAAGGAGGACCACGCGTATGCTTGTTCAATTGCATTTTCCGAAGGGCTGAGATTGCTGCAGAGCGTCTTCTCAGCAGAAACTGAGCTATCAGTCGGCACGTTCTCCAAGGCGTGCATGTTGATACACAAGTTTCCGCGGAACGCGAGACTTCAGTCGGCGGAAATGGCTTGTGAGAACTGCGCAGGGCTCAGTCGCTTGGGGCTTTACACCCTATACAGATTCAAATACAGTATACAGTATGCGACCTGCAGTCAGTCAACAAACGATTGAAATTTCGATACATTTGGTTGAAACGGACTTGATATTGAAGGTGTCTTTTTGGTTCACTTGTTGTGCTTCCAAGCCTCAGGTTCTGTGGAGGGTACTATTCTTCCAGTTGAATTCTCTGGCATCGTGAGAAACTTGGTGGAGTTGGGGAAGGCTTTCAATGATCGGCCCGCTCAATGGTGCAGGTCACTCATGGCATCTAATGAATTGGAGGCACTTCTTGGCTTAGAAGCTTCAGTCAAACCTACCTTGGGTTTGGAGGTTCAGAAGCTTCTCAGGGTTTGCGAAATCGTTCGGGATTCGCAGCTTCCACCCGAGCGAAAGCCAAATGTATTCACAGCGGAGACGTGGGACAGCAAGGCCCTCCTAAAAAGCGGATTGATGATGTTCTTGGATGTTGTCCATGATGACTCTTCTGTTCTCAGAGGGCTAGATCAGGCAAAGTCAGAACTGGAGAAGAAGCTCCGAGACACTATCACACACGCTGTCACCGAGCTCGAAAAGGCCAAAAAGCTGACCGCCACGGTCTACCAGCAGTTGTCCCAGATTATGGACGCAGCGTTTTCGAAGGACTTCGTTACGCACAGCGAGCTTGTTGCGCAGGTGAACAGTAATGAAAACGACCAGGCTCTGGAAAACACAGTCCAAGGCGCGGGGTTTTTGATTTTGATCCTGGTCTTATTCCTCTGTGCGTATGAGATGAAACATTGAAGATCTTATGGTTCGATCATCTATCACTAATCTTGCTGCATACTGCATACTCTTGCCTCTTGCTGGTTTGTTATGTCAGCCAAACTAAATCTTTCAGAATTCAGAATCAATCCATCCGACTCCCCTGCCCTATCGTACCAGGCGTTGAACACTTGGTAGAGCTGGAAAGCATGGGGCAGACTTTGTTGAACTTCCGCAAGGACATTGACAAGACACCCTGTGACTTCAGTGAGTTGCTGGGCTCTATGACAGTAAAGCTCGAGGAGGACCCAACAGCAACCAAATTGGGCCACGCCGTGTTTGCAGGCACAGCAGGTGCTCTGCTGTATGACACGAAGGATTCCACATCCGATCGACTGCTCAGTTTTACCAAGCTCTGGAAGTTTACTTCGACCAGACTTCAGCTGCAGAAGAAAGACATCCCGCTAGAGATTTTGCAGCCCGTGGAGAAGCTTCACAAGGACTTCTAGAGTGTCAGAGTCGAGTCATGAACCCTTGAGGCTTACGTGCTGCTTTTGATTCATTCATGCGTGTACTTGCTACCGACACGTGTGCATTGGATAAGAAACTAAATGGGGCAGGAGCTGAAGAATCAAAAGGCTGAGTCTGACTCGAAGGCTATGCCACCGCCTACCGGTACCCCAAACAAGAGGAAGCGCAAGGCACTTGCAAACCAGAGCGCAGAAGACTCGCAGTGAAGCCTTTGCTCTGCTGACAATTTCTAAATTAGAATCGACCCCTCAGTGGGGTTGGGAATTTCTCTTTTGCGCCGATTGCCGTCCAGAGGTGTTGGCGCATTGATTGAGAGCGAGGGAGAACGAACTGTACTGACTCACTGGCTACCCAAGTCAGCAAGAGAGATACAGGCACAGGAAATCGGAGAGATGATTTCAATCTAGGGTGAAGACTGTTGAGGCCACAAGCGCATTTTGCGCGGCTTCAGTCTTTGATAGTGGCCAGAGTGCCCGAAGGGGAAAATAGTCCGGTCCAGTCGATATTGCTTCCCACTTGCCTCTTGATGTTTTGTTTAACAAATTTGGAGGGCCTAGAAACTTTGCTCAGAGACAGATCCAGAAGTGGACAATTAGTTAGTTAGTTAGGCTGGGAAGTTGATGGAGCAGTTTGACGAGGAGAAGAAACGATTGGGCCTGAACTCTTTGACGGAGGGGGAATACAGAGAGTTTTTTGGCAAAAAATTGTCTTGGTGCAATGAACATTGGAGGGTACTGGTTTCGTCAATTCCTTTGATCCACTCAATAAATAACTTAAGGTACACTGAGCAATGCAAGCGGCGACATGGAGCAGGGTGGGCTCGTGGGCTCACATCCAGAGAGCAAGAGCAATTGGACCTTATTTGGCACGCGGCCACTTGCTTCACTATGTACCTGTAACCTCTACTGTACTGAACTTCTATGTGAATGTAGAAACGTATGTGCTGCGCGGTCACGAATCAGCATAGCCTAGCAGGGCCTGCCCGTTGAGTCACTAGCTCTTCCTGCTTGCCCGTTAAGGAAGGCAAATCTCGTTGCATCATCACCGATGTCGTGAAATCACTGAATCGGCGTCAATATCGCAAGGATGGTCTTACTCCCACGCGCCCCGGCCGCAGTCAAGTAACTGTTGTTTCCCGTGGTAAACGTGATTTGTGGCATTTGTCTCGCTGGGCAGCTACAGCTGAGTCTCACGACGAACAGCAAAATCTACTGCTATGAGCGCGACCTTCTTCTTGGTCCACCGCATCTTTTTGCACTGTCAGGAACCCAGCAACCAGCAAATTCAAGTACAGATACACAGCCGGACTTCAGACCAAATTGGGATGACATTTGGGAAATAGTTTAATCTACTGTATACTGCTGTATACTGTATACTGATGATACACTGAGGCAAGGGTTCAACATTAGTGAAGTTGACTTCAGGGGAGACTTCAAGCCTTCTTTGTTTCGGCTGATGTCAGGCTATGGGGTGCACGTTGTGCTTTGTGAGCGTCAACGTATTTTGTTTGGTGAACAAATTGCAGTACCAGTGGGCAGGTAACGCCATGTCAGTACCTGTTGTTGGCGGTGTCATTGGCGTGGATCCGCAGCTGCATTTCAATTCATTCTGGGTCCATAGTACATAGGTGTTCATTCTGTGTGTGTGCAGGTGCGAAAGTTGAGGCAGAAATCGTACGATCGAAGTTTCATTTTGCAGCCAAGGCATTGGCAATGACGCGTGTGCGTTCCCAGTTCCAAGTTTCCAAAGATAGTCTTTGGCGTGTTGTTTTGAGCACTTCCACCATAGCGGATCCAGAGTCGGAAGAATCTATGGATAGTGCTTCAAGTGACAGGGCCAGTAGCCAGTCTGGCAAGACCAAGTGACCAACCACCCAGGTCCTGAAAACAGGACAGTACAGTAGTGTTTTATGCACTTTGCAGCACCAGTTGCTGTAAGCATATCAAATTTGTGTGGCGACAATGGCCTCAACTGTTTGCAAGAAACGGTTTGGTCCGGATGCCAAAGCCTGCTCGATACTGTTGGCATACAAAAGGCATGATGAGAGCCATGGTCCGCCATACTTTGGGTTGGGATTGAATTATGTGATGTGAGTCGAGTGTGACCTTTGACACCGGATGACCAGAACTTTGCTGGTGAGCACTAGTTTAGAATAATTTAGTAGACCTGCCCACACCTATGCTACCGGACTGCTGATTTAAACTGTAAAGGACAAACATCCCTTCCCGGAAAACTTTTGCCCACTTGTGCGCCACACGCAACCCCCCTGGAAAGTCTCCTAGGTTTGCCACAGCTCATGCCGCGCACCAAAAAAATGTTCACTGGCACAACCCGTGCGCCAAGACAAACGCTGACTGGTACCCCCGTGTGGCAAACAAAACACCTCCTAGGTTTGCCGCGGCGCACGCCAGTTACCAAAAAATTAGCTCACTGGCGCACCCCGTGCACCAAAAACGGACCGTTTAGGTTTGTTGCAGCGCATGCCGTGCACCAAAAAGTTACTTGTTGGCGCACCCCTTGCACCTAAAAGTTGGCTTATTGGCGCACCCTGTGCTGTCAAAAAATTGTTTTCTCGCGCACCCCGTGCCCCCAAAAAGGGCTTTCTGGCGCGCCCTGTGCCCCCACAAAATTGTTTTCTGGCGCACCCCGTGCCCCAAAAAATTGCTTTCTGGCGCACCCCGTGCCCCCAAAAACATGCTTTCTGGCGCACCCCGTGCCCCCAAAAACTTGCTGGCACACCCCGTGCACCAGAAAAACACTCCGCCGGCATACCCCCTGCCACCAAATTTCTTCTATCCTTAAGCCTACCGGCCGCTTCTCAAGTTATGTTCATTCTGCGGAGTGAGCAAGCTCGTCTTCTCGCAGTTCAGCTCGTCTTCGGGTGAATGACCCACCATTGGAGCCATTGGGATATACCTCGAAGAACCCCGGAACCATACTTCCACCGGGTCGTTCCATGACTCATCCCTCATCTTCTTGCAGATGCGTTCGCCATGCTCGGAGCAGTTCCAGTCACACGAGGCGTTGGCAGCAGAAGCTGCGAGCACCGTGGCAGAGCTGCTGGAGACGAGAAAGATGGATCGGTCTATTGGTGTGGTAGGCGGGTCTTGGGAGAGGTCTCGGCTGTGGCCGGTCACGTGGAGGTTCTCCGATTGAGAAAAGTATATCGATTTCGACGTCAGACGTCTTGGATGCGATATGTGTTGCGGGTTTTTTTCTCTTTTTCCCCATTGGGAACACACAGTGGTTTCAGAAGTTCGGTGGCACTGGCACCCCGTTCGATGTCTATCTAGACAGATTTTGGGGGTCCAATGGGGTCGATTCGAAACCAACGAATTCGGGACACGTCGCGCCCGTTTTCTCCCGCTTTTTCTTTCCGGTGCTGTCCCTCCGGTCCCCGGAGGCTCAGTGCTGCGCCCGGCACCCGAGATGCTCGGTACTTTGGCCTCGGTTCTTTCTCCGTGGCGTTGGTGGGTGGAAAAAACCCACGGCCCACGGATCAAAGTGAAGGGCATGCCAAAGGAAGTGAAGTCTTGGGGATGTTGTCTTTGGAGAGCATGTTTTTGGGGGATGTATAATTTAGCGGATGTCCATATTGTCGTGAACTGGCTTGATGCCACTGAGCAATCCGGGATTTGAGGACTCATGCAAATTACTATGTTTGTTGGACCAGAGTCCAGAAGTGAGACGTACCAGCCACGCTATGCCGGACCATCATTAACTAGTCTATACAGATTCCAACATGTCTGGACATAATGTTTCCATGATTCTTTGTGTTTAAGGCTTTAGTTGCTGGTAGTTATACGGCTTCCAAGCAAAAAGGCCCTTGGAGAAGATTTGGCTGTATTTTGTGCCGAGGTGACATTCCAGTTTTTCCATTGGAGGATCTAGACCCTTGTGACTTCGACATTGTTTTGGTCGTTGACGCTTGCCTGGATGAAGCTGACTTGCCAAGCAAGTCTGACTGGACCAAAGAAGCTGGGTCGCAGGGAATGGGACCCTCGGCGCCAATCGATTCTAAGAGTAAATGAGCACTCAGCCCAGCAAATGAAATTAGCAGATGATGCGCATGATGTCCTCAGCGACTCGGGGTACAAGCGGTTTCTGATTTGCAGTTGGAAAGACTCCCGCAGCAGCTGCGATGACCTTGGATGGTCCAAAATTAAAGGCTGACTAGGATGAACGTTCTACATGCATTCAAAATCATTCTAAGGGATGTATGCCTAGTTTGGGCCAATTCAGTAGATGGGTCCTAAAGAGGTGTAGGGGGGCCAAGTTCAGAACTAGAATCTACAGTTCTGTCACTGTCCACCAGCGACCAAGACGCCTTTTTGAATCTTTTGATTCCCAGTTTGCCATCCATTGTGCCCAATAATAACCGTTATCCCCGGTGTGTCAAAGGGCATGTTTTGGGCTGGGGCCTTCCTGAGGAGAAGTTCTTGCTGGTGCAGGTGGGCTGGGGCTGTAAAATGTACCCGGGAACTGGGAACTCGTGGATTACTTATGGAAAACATTCACCTGACATGGACATTTCCATTTGAGTTCCCGCTGGCATACAGGACGCGTTTCGGATACTTGATCGGATGCATTCAGATTCCATAGGGTAAGAGGATTTCTTCAGCCCTCGGGAAAGGTCCCACGCCTTGCAGAGGTGCAAGCAGCTGAAAAGATCAACGAGCAAGTCGACGAGCCGCCGGCCCGCATGTGGTGTCGCGTCACCGATCGATGCACCGAAATCAAAAGCCAAGCTGCGTCCCATGTGTCAGTAGTAGCATGTAGTAGCGTCCTTGCTCCTAGTAAGGCCAGGAGCCCCTAGCGTCCTTGCTCCTAGTAGTAAGGCCAGGAGCCCCGTTCGTAGCATCCTGAAGTTGAATCACCGTTTGTTTCACAGGCTACCGGCCGCCGTCGATGCCAGGGCCGCGTGCAGGGAAGAAGGATGGGGAGGGGGAGCGTGCAATGAGGGGGTATGCTGTAGAGGCCGGGTAGATGCCCCGTCGCAGAAAGAGGCCGTGCTGCAAAATGTTTGAGATGCATCGTGCTTCCAGCAGAAGATTCAATGTGCAGTTGTTGACAGAGAAAGGGAGACTACCCATGTAAAAGAAGATGCTCCAGGGCCCAGGGTGTGCAGTCCGGAAAAAGGGCGGAGCCCTTTTTTCAAAAAAACTGAACCCTTTATGAAAAGAAAGAGACGAGAAAAAGACCAGGCAAAGACCGCAATAAACACTGAAAAAACAGATGAGAGGGGGGGGCGGGAAAGGGAGGAAGGAGGAGATGTAATTATGCAGGAAAAGTGCTGGAACGCGAAGGGGGGATTTCGGTGGGAGAGAGCGGGGGTGGTTGTGTCGCCAGAGTGGAGCTTAGAGGCGAAGAGCGGCGGATGGCAGAGAGAAAGGCACGGCCGGAGTAAGTAGAGTCACTGAAAAAGGGGACCCCTTGATCAAAGGAACGCACGAGAAAACCCAGCGACAACACTAGAAACATTAAGAACACCAAAAACAACTTTGCAAAAAACTAGACAGAGAGGATTGGGAGGAGGGTTGGGGAGGACGGGGGGGTCCGAACCCGGGACCATCTGGCAATGTGCTTGTATTTTTGGAGCGGGTCACGCTCCAGGAACACCGTTCGCAGGGAGGAATCGAACCTGGCACCATGTCAGAACGTGCTTGTTTGTTCTCTGGGGGGGTGCCCCCTTCTCGGCCCATCAATGAAAGGAACGAGGGCGACTACTACAGGTCTTCATGGGTCCTGGGAGGTTCGTGGCAGGAAACACGGCCTCCGGAAGGGTACAGTAAGGGGTGAAAGCATCGACCACACAAGACCCTACTCATCCTATGTGTTGCACACAAACTTGGGAAATGCGCGCGGAATGGACCATGCGCCAGCCGAAGTAAAAAGGCCTTCATACACAGGACGAGGGGTAAGTAGGGTTTTCTGAACATATCCTCAACGGTAAGTTGTCTGAACATCCTCGAATACCAAATTATCAGCTCCAAAGTGCAAGTGGTCAAACGACCCAACCCTCAGTGCTAAGTTTATCAGTAGTGCTGGGGAGCTGCGCCCCACAAACCAGCCTGGGAAGGGCTTGGTTTGACCGTTTGACCCAGGCTCCTTCGCAAGATTGACGACGCCCAAGTGCGACGTGCTTGTGGCTTGGACTGTTGAGAGGCGTTTGTTGTGAAGGCCATTGGGTGACCACGAGCAGAACTGCACCAGGAACAAGCAAGGCTGAATGATGGAATCTTGTTTGACCCCCCAAACAGATGGTTGAAGTTGAAATATGGTTGAAAATTGAAAGTGCAGCTATAATTCCGGTCACTTTAGGTCATTTAGGCGTGTTTTGCCGGACATCGTCGCTCCAGTGATCCGGCCAGGGCCTCGGAGGCAAAGAAGAGACACTAAAAGACATGGCTACAATTAGTGTTACTTTACTATACTAGACCAACCATTGAGCATGTCTTTTAATGGTTGGTTACTTTACTAGACCAACCATTTGTTTCGAAGGTTCAATTCCAGGATTATCCAAACACATCCATTTCAGTTGTTTTGTATTGTTTTGTCCCGTGTTCTAAGCAGAGAGTGGTCCAATATGCTTTAGTTTTGTTTTGGACACCCGGCAATCACATCGCAAGTTCTTTTTTGTATTGTTTTCTTTCTATAAACACCACTAGCTCCGAGAAGGATCAGTGGATCAGTGGAAATGGGGCCTGGAAAGGACCTGAAGCAGAAGATGAGCAGATGGTGATGCGTGATGCACGAAGCATGGTTTCTTGAAAGGGCAATGTCAATTTCTTCTTCACGTCCAAGGATTAGTTGCTTTGATTTGTAACTGATCAGTGGTCTAGAGGTTTGGAGGGAGCTAAGGAGCCTGCGGTAGCTATACTATGCCAAACTTAACTCCGATTTGATGAGGGAACCATTGAGTTAGAGGGAGTTGCCCGGCCATTTCCTACTAAAAGTCCTCCACCTGGCACCTCCTTAGTCGACACTGCAGTTTGCTTTGCCGAGGCGGTGCAGGCACTTCCTGCTGAGGTGGATTTTGTTAGCTGAGCAGGTGGATCCGAGAAGCGGGTTGCTGAGTTTTTTGTGGTTACAACCTAAAGCGGGTAGAAACATATAGACATGATCTCCGCGGCATTTTTGTCTAAGCGGGATATAAGCGGGTTCACGTTTCACGGTCCAGAAGATCTTGGGCCACGAAGCAACAAAAGTGCCTTGTAATCCGTGACTTGAGTCACGCATTTTTCGAGGTTAGGCCTTGGCAGGAGGTGAGTGGAGGTCCTTTTGTTCTACCCCCAAGGTAGCAGTCTGACCTATGACATCCTATGACCCCAGCCCACAAAGAGTACGGCACGCCATTTGTTAGGGCTGGTAGGACTCACAATTCGGCGCGATGCATTGCATTCCATTCAGCAGTTGGTATGGCTCATGGTTTCGAGGTCAACATGGTCCCCGATTGATTTCAAGGTCTCCAGTGGAGGTGCATGTGGTCAGGTCTCCTACGTGGGTAAGTTGCAGTAGGTCTCCTACTGCAAGCCACCGTCTTCTTCAGGTCTGAAGGTTCTTGGTCGTGTCAGGTGTGGCTGGTGCTGATGCAGCGGATGACTCTATGGAGATGGCATGTCCCATGGATGACAAGCGCATCGACGCAACTTGGTCGACCTGACAGAGCGTTCACGTGAACGTGAACGGCGCGTAAGACTCACCTTCCAGGAGTGAATTGAAATTGGAGAAACTTCAGAGAAGCCCACGTCATTTCATGCTGCCTAGCTGGGAAAAAGTTTCAGGGCTGGGACAGCAACAAGCCCCAAACAAATAAGAAACGCAATCTCTCGCCGCACCGTCACAAGCGCAGCTGCAAATAAGGCATTAGCCTTTAGCAGCTGGGATTTGCGCGATCTCTCTGCCAAAAAGGAGTTCGATTTGCGTTTTGCCAAGGGCAAAGGAACCAAGAACCGATGGGTGCAAATTGGACGTTGACTCTCTCGCCCAGTTCTTGTGGGGATTTGGGTGCTTCCAGGTGTTGTTCCAAAAGAAATCACAGACGTTTTGAAGGTTTCAGCATGGGCGGACCCTCTTCCTGCACAGAACAGGGGCGGACCCTCTCTCTGCCACCGGCAAGTTGAAAGCCTCCGGATGATGTTTGCCATGAAGTGCAGGAAGCTAAGCTTCCAAGCAATACGGCCCCAAGCATGGGGTTGCTCAGTGACTGCATACAGAGAAGAGCTCTTGTTGTCAAGCCTGATCTCTTGTGCATCAGGGTGACTTGCAGAAGCCCGAAGTCTTCTTCCAGGTGGCTGCTCATGACCAACTTCCTTTTTGTCACCAGCTTCAGAGAGAATCAATACTAGTAGCAATGCACTTGTTACTAGTAGCTTCTTTTTACTAGTAGCAATGCACTTGTTACTACTTGCCGACTTGTCAAGCGAGTTGATGACCAGGGGCCGAAGTGCTCTTCCTACCCGGACTTTGCGGAAGCTGCAGGCATCAAGAACTGCGAAGAGAATCGAAGAGACTTCCAAGTTTTGTTTTACGATTTCGAGTTCGCTGCAACCCATGCAACCCACATCAGTCCCTACCAGTTTTTTGGTTGTTGCTGGGCCCATGTCCCACACAGCCAAAAAGCACAACATAGCACAACATATTATAACAATATAATGCATATTATATATATACACATATGTAGATCTACGAGAAATAGTGATAGATAGGATATAGAGCCTGGGGAGGGCCAAGGTTCTAGACAAGCATCATTCTGGAAAGAGATCCCAAGCAGTATTAAACAAAACACGGGCGAGTAGGCTAACTGTCAACCAAATAATCTTCTGCAAGAGAGCACATGTCACACATGAGAGCACGCACATAAGAATAGCGCACATATGTGAGCAAACACACAGAGCTCACATGAGATCACAGGTATGAGTGAGCACACATATGAGAGCACACCTGTCAGAACACACATATACATATGAGATCATATGAGAGTAGATACACAGGAGCACACATGTGAGCAAACACATGAGAGCACAGGTGAGCGCGCACACACACACACACGAGAGCACACATATGTGAGCCAACACATGAGAGTACAGGCACGCACACACACACACATGAGAGCACACATATGGGAGCAAACACATGTTCAGCATTTCTCAATACAGACACACGACCGCACCCTCCCTTCACGTCATAGCAACACTTCGTTTTCGCAGGATTCTGTGGACTCCGAAGCGCGGCCCAAATCCAATCACATGCACTCAGTCAAGACTTCGCATCCAAATCAGCTTGGTGGCCCCCTTTTTGACCATCGCCTTGAGAAATCTGTTTCTGCACCAGTTCCCATCCAGCCACGGCTGGACCCGCCGGAACGGGTGCTTGACCCGGAACCCGGTGCTGTCCCGCCATGACGCACGAAATGGCCCGCGATGCGCCGCACGGAAGCACACGAGTCAGAGTTCAGACTGGCATGAGGAGCTTCTAAGTGAGATAAGTGGACATGAAATGGACAGGGGACGTACCCGCTTTTGGGCACTGACGGCATCGAACTGCCAGAAAAGCCGGTACCGGTACAAGGTGTGCGACGACGGTCGGCCTTATAGGGTCTTTATGGTCGTTTTCGATCACATGGTTGGGTCAGACCAGCTTGAGTTGGCGATGTGCTTCGCACATTTTAGGACTTTGAGGTATTAACGGCGGCTTTTGCCTCTGATGGGGCCATGGGCCATACATATCTCGTCATACCTCCAAGGCATGCTTGGTGCTGTGGTCTTGGATTCATTTCTGAAGGTGCAGGAGGCCTACTCGGCTTGAGGATCACATGGCTGATTTTTTTGTTTGTTGTTGCTGTTGCTGTTGTTGTTGGTGCGCCAAGACTGCCATGCAGTTGACAGCCATCCTCCTCCATCACCGGTCATGGAAGCCTGGGAACTTTGGGTGGTTATATAACCGAAAGTGCTGTACCGTTTTACTCAAACTCTCCAGGCCTCAAGGAAAACGTGCAGAATTCCGACGCTTTTGCTGCTCAGCCCTTCCCCTTGGATCAGAGGATCCCTTCCCCTCCTTCCGTCCTCCTGTCGAGACCAGGTCCTCCTTCCTGGTGCCTCATCAGAGCTCAGAGGACGGCAAATCCCGGCGAAAGACGGAGAGTCTGTGAGGGATGTTCCAGGGATTGTTCGACCAATTTCCAGCGGCCGGTTCGGGTGCTCAGGCCCGGCCTGCAGGGTCAGCTAGGGGTATGGAGTGGGAGACTGGAGGGTAGTTTTCCGGTGATCATTGCAGGCATTCAAGACGACAATCTTTGAAGACGTTTGAAGCTGAGTTATTGTTCGATCTTATTAGGGTCGTATTGGACAAGCAAACGTTCATTGCAACATTGATGTCGTAGATGTGTGTGTGCGTGTGTCTCTCTCTCTCTCTTCCACTGCGCACTTGATAAAGTATGGTGAATTCATCAATCCTTGTGAATACCGCAACAGCCTCATGTTTCTTGGCTTTTGGCCTGGGAGCCCAGTGACGCAAGTGACGAAAGTGGCCATCAACTTCCCTCACGATGTGTGGCCCGGACGCACTTCGCACCAGGATTTGATGGCACAAGGGGTGCCCCCTCGTGAAGCGAGGCCAGGAGTGGATGGAAACGTCTTGGATCCTTTGGATGGGTACTGTCATCTTCATCTTTGTTTGGTGCTTCTGCATTCTGGGTGTTTACCCCTCCCAACCAACATGGAAGTGGACCATCCCCTGCTTTTGTATTCGGATTTCATGGCCCTGATCAGCGGACCCATGCCATCCACCACTTCATATGATTCTTTCAGGGAGGGTCCATGCCCCTGATCTGCGGACCGTGAGGCGAAGATCCTTTCTGCGGACTTGGGTGATGGAGCGGCTCTCAACTTTGCTCCTCGGCAAGCGGGAGCCGCCGGAGCGGTGCAATTCTGGACATCAGCCTCCAACCAAGGTCAGGGCTCTTCGGATGGGCTTTACCAGAATGAACTTAAAACATGTTGAAGAATGCTGCAAGTTTAAGGCATCATCAAGTGTTCCTGCTTGTTTAGACAGTTCTTGAAATTATTGTACTCTCTCTCTCTCTCGCTCTTTGATATAGCATGATATAGCGGTGTTAAGCCGCTTAGATGTATTTAGTTTGATTTGTGCAAATTATATACTTTCTATCAGGGATGTGGCCGTCCTCCATTAGTAGAGAAATTGGCTTGTGAATTCAAAACCTCAACGATCGAAACGGTCACGCTTAACCTGGGTTAGCACACTCTACATGGTGGTCATTCTATGTTGATGTTCCGCCCCCGTGGCACACGTGCCCCAAGAACACCACAGTTCTATCATATAGATAATATATATATATATACAGTATATATATTGTGCGTGCGTGCTGCAGGACCGCAGCAGGCAACGAGCATCAAACACAGCCAAAGACTTCTGTTTGGGGCCTTGGACTCGTCACAGAAGTATGTAAATAGCAGCGCCCACAGAGAGACCCAAGGGGGTCACTTGGAGCCCCCAATCCCAGGGCAGCGGGTTTTCGTCCGAATCTCGACGGGCCGAAGACTTCCAAAATAGACAGTGGCACGGTATTCTGAATGAAGAGTCCACAATAATGACGCTCCTCCAAAAAGGAAGGCCCACCAATCACTGAGGATCGAACTGACTCTCTTGTGGGCGCTCATCATTCCGTTGCTGGTAGCCTTGCACCTTGACGTCGTTTTCGCCCAGGGCGAAAGACTGCAGGACTCGAATAAAGCAAGACATGCTGAGTGAAGCACTCAGCACCCCAAGCCCTGGTGGTAAGCTGTTGATCCATTGATCCATAAATTTAGAGAGGCCAACGTGGAGTAGCATCCTTCAAACCAGACCGCCCAATCTGTCAGCAGCCTTGAGACCACAACATGTTTCTGATTCTGGCTCCCCCCTTTAAATCCACAGAGTTCAGGGTGTCTTGCACCGGCAGAACATGGGGAACCTTACATTGACCGGCCCCCACGTGGCACTCAACATGATGTTTGTTCTATGTCTATGTATTGTTCGGTGGCCTATCCGATCCGAGCTTAATTATTCGAATCGGGTACTTGGTGCATGCTCCATCAACCCTAAGTAGATTTGAACTTGACAAATGAATCCATGCCGAGATGCCATGTATCCGTCGGCATGGCGTGGCACGAAAGGCATGAACCAAGATGACTGTCTAGCAGAGTCTAGCGACTTGCGTTGTGTTGCCAGTCGGGGATTTCCGCTAGAACACCACTCAGGCGCTCTCCTTCCCTCACCTCATGTGCCATAATTAGTTCAGATTCAGTGCCAGTGCTTGTTGGATTTTTCGAAAAGTCGATCTTCTGGGGTTCGCATATACCAGAAGAATTCCGAGGAGCACCACTCGTGGTGGTTTCGGGTTCCATCATGTTCCACCCTTTAGCTGCCTATGCTTGTTCGCGCCGCGACTCTGCCCGAGGCTACTGTGGCCTGGCAAACACCGCGCCCGCGCGCGAGCACATCCCTTGGAACCTGAGGTTTTGTGAAGACCACTGGTGCAAGGGATGGGTAGCTTCAACTTCTTGAGCTTTTGGATGATCGAGACATTCTGGACTATCGGTGGCCCACTTCCAAAGCTGATGCTATAGACTATAGTACTCAAGTTCGTTCAAGTTCAAGCAATTGTCCAAAGAAGAACGGACATCAAGACGAGTTGGCTGCCACCAGTTCCATCCCTTTGAGACCCTCCAATCGACGGGTCGATGTCTCGTCCTCACGAGTGTCACGAGTCACCAAAGCAATGCTGACATCCCATGTGATGTAGACTCTTGAGGTATATAAACCCCCCATATGAAGAGAATGTGTCCACTTCAAATCGGGGGGGTGTATTAATCAAGAGTCTACATTAGGAGCAGCTTGGCGAAGCAGTACATCCGGTCTTATACACTATGACAGTCTATACATCTTTTCGCGTGGGCAGGGGCGGTCGAAGGCATTTTCCCACTGACCCCAAGAGAACAGGCCGCAACCGGTTACAGCCGGTGTATATCGTTCATGGTTGGTATGCCTTGGATCTAATCCAGCCCCATGGTTTCGCTGGATGCAACTTGTTAAAGGTGATCGCATGTGATTGCTGGTTGAGCCTTTACCAACGATCATCCACTCTTGAAGTGTGGACTCATCCAAGGTACACACACACACACCCAGGAAGATTAGCATGGAACCTGAAAATTGACCTTTGGAAGACTAGTTTTTTCTCTACAACCCAGTGGTTTTCAGGTTCCATGATGTTCCATGTGAATCGTCCAGAGTGTAGTGGATGCTATGTGGATAGCATCTCGTGGGTCTTCAAAACGCCATCCAAGGTTGCTCACTCTCTTCTTCGCAAAGATATGCGACGCTCTGGATGGGCAGGATGCTGCGGGGGATATTGGCTCCTTCCTTTTTGACCACGTGGAGGACTCTTGCCACTCGCATGCCACACACGGTCTGTCGTTTGGGGCACCTTGGGACATCCTCGCCTCGTCCTACCCAACTGTAGCCAGAAGGTCATCCTGTAGAAACCAAGGTCATCCTCTAGAAACTCAGGTCATGCACCCCCCCCAAAATCCAGCCCTCACTGGAATTTACTCCTCGTCTTGGTGGCGCGTTCAGCCGAACTGACCTGCACGGCATCCAGCCAGCTGGGGAGTCTCACTCTACCTCGCGAGGTGATACGCCGCTGGGGTTCCTGGTGGCGCTTTTCTGGGTGGTCCTCTTCTTCAAAATGATCCTCGGCCACGCACTGAGCGTGGTGCGTTTCTTCCTCTGACCATGCAATCACTTGCCTTATCGTTGTGAGAAGGCAAGACTCACTCAACCATGGTGAGTTGAAGCCGGTTGAAGCACCATAGGGACAAGCGGCACCCGTGCTCTCGTCACTATTGAAATGCAGGACACACATGTGGTGAAGTTGGGCCTTACTTGAGCTCTAGGGACATCATGTTGGAAGTGCCGCTCAAAAATGTGGGTCTCGTAATTGCAATCACCTTCCAAAACGTCACCTTCCTCAACCCGACTATCGCATTTGACATATTACACATATATATATATTATATATATACATATTGATGTATCTGTATTGTCATATCCTTGACTTGGGCTCTAGGACACTGATTTACATTTGGAGTCGCATTGCGCGGCACATCCACGAGTCGAGCTGCTGCACTGGACGCTGTTGTGAATCTTTGATCCTTGGAAGCGCAGCGGAACGCGGGCTCCACGCGGAACACGCGGAACCAGCGGCTGCGATGGTTTGTTTTGCGACATCGGGAATTGATGCTGGATGTTTTGCGACATGAAACGCAGCCATGTCAGACATCAACCATTCAGGGAGTGAAGCCGCATGAACTCTTTTTACACACGTTGCCCTATGGGGTTCATGAGTGTTTTTTTCTCCCCAGAGCTGTTTTGAGGGCGGGTGGCATTAGTTGGGTTGATGAACATCGTTGGTGGCGATTCCTTTGGACCACAAATTTGTTGACTCTTGATGAATGAATTGCCCCCATAGTATGAAGAGTTTTGACAATCCAAATCGATGGGCCTAAGAGTTGTTGCAATCCAAATGGATGGGTTTTGTGAATGAAGAGTCTACATTACTTGGATCTGTGAAGCCCCTGCAACCTCTCCAGTATGTGTGGGCGACCAAACGGTGGGCCACAGGAGGTGTGTTCTTCTGGGAGGCCCCGCCATGCAGTCCATGGACCATGCGGCCCTTTGCAGGGGGGTAATCCCAATTCAAACCGTAAGACCATGGGAAATCCGTGGGAATTGGGCACAGGGTCAAAGGGGCACTGCAAGAAGACACCCATGTCAAGCCAACGGCTCATTACGAAGCAATAGGTGTGCCTCCGATTGGAAGTATACCTTAATCATATCCCATAGTACACTCCATGTATGGAATATATCCCTACATTGACCCCCCAAACCACCCCAATGTGAGCATATGTGGCATACATGGAGCGTTTGGGTATGTTTGGAAGACACAGGTGTGCTTAGCATTTGCTGTACCCGACTTTTTCGATCATGGGAATGGCCACTAGAGTTCGCCGATGTTGGTGGATCGTGGACAGTGTTGAAAGAAAACCACCGGTTTGTCTCGCTTTTTTAGACACCAAATACAAGAAACAAATGAAGAGGGCCTGAAACATACCCAGCACCTTCCAACAGGTCTCCTTTGGAGGGTTGATAGGCCCTAACAGGTCTCAATTGGTGACCTGTTGGAGGTGCTGGACATAGTCTTTTGACCAGGAAAGGAAACCGTGGTCGTTGGACCTGCTGGGGTTGAAGGTGTGTGCAGGGCCATCGACAGGGACGGCAACCCCTCCCAAACACCCCAGCACATCGGCAGGGCCCACTGGCCGAGGTGCTGCCCAGTTTTTTGGTGTTCTTTTCTCGATCATCTTCCATGATGCCCAGGGTGCATGCAGCTTTCTGGCGGCTCAGGAAATGTTTCTTCTACTATTGCTTAGTGATCCCGACGGTGCTTTTCGAGTTTACTTGGTGCCTTCGACGCATGGGGCAGGAGCATGCGGTCGCGCCTGGCTGCGCCGTTGGCCTTTTTGGGCGTTGCGGCTGGCAGATGCCAGAAGGTTTACCACTCCATACTAGTACTGGAAGTTGATAGGAAACCAGAGCGAATAGGTGTAAGAAGACGGGGTACTAATGTTTGATCATTGTTGGTGTTTCCAGTGTGAGTCAATGCCGTAGTTTCAAGAGGAGTGAGGATTTGTTTGATCAGTTAGAGAGGTGCAAATGTCAATTTTGCAATGGTTCCCCACAAAAACAAGCTGAAATCACCTACCCTGAATCAATTTCAACTCCTTTTATCTCAATTCCTGGGCGCTGTTTGGTTCCGGGTTCCAGCTTAGGCCATTAAGGTGAGTCCGGCCATCGGAAGTCCGACTCAGGCCGACGGCCACCTTTGTGAGCCTTGTGCTGGCCAGAGACTGCAGTGGGAAACTACAGGCGAGCGCTTGGCTCGTCTTGTCTCCTTACCTCCTAAAGGCGCCGCGCGCGACCGGGCGGCGACCGGTCACCGGACCGGGTCGGACTGGTCAGGTCAGGACAGTGCCGTGGTGGTGCCATGGAAGACGTGTCATGGAAGACGTGTTCCATGTGTTTGGCTATGCTATTGTGGTTGGGGATGTGGGGGTCGAGTAGATGGTGACGCAGTATGACGTAGTGACAAAGCCTAGCAATGATGTAGACCGCAGGCTGTTTCTTTCTTCTTGTAGAAGCAGCAACCTTCCTATGGTTTGAGGGCTGGTAGGGCAACCAAGATTCCGCCTTCCGCTGAAAACATCTTTGAACACCCGGGATCAAGTAACTTGACCTGGGGCAGACGGCCGACTTTCTCCGGTGCAGAGGGTACGGGATACATTCTTGTGTGCTGTTTGCCAGAGCACAGTCGACGTCAGGCCTTTGCCATGACCATGATAATTCTTTGGAGGCCATGCTTGAAGCCGATCTTCTACCGGACAGGCTGGGAGCAGAGTGATGCAATCGACATATTTCAAAACATATTGGCCCATGTTTTGGGTCCAAAAAGGAATGCGAAGGAATGAGGATTGAGATCAAATTCGAGCAACTCTCGCAGCCTCCCCGTTCGTGACTATACTGGTGGGCTTGTCGTATGAATGGCCCACATAAGCAAAGCCTTGGTGTGCGTAAGGTTGCGTAAGGTTTTTGTGAGAGATAGCTAGGAGTTGCACAAGCTGCGTAAGCAAGCCCAAGTTTCAGCATACATTGTGCGAAAGCCAGCCGATAGGCTAGGCTGAAGTTGCTCCTGCGAATTAAGTGAGTACTGGAGGTGTGGGGGGGAGAGCGGGTCAAAGTTGCGCTTTGCAGCATCATGGCCTGTTTTACATTTTTTGGAGAGGCTAATTTTGGGATATTTTGGGCAGTTGGTGATGCAAAAGGTGCAACGTGAAGTTGCTGCTGCATCAATCGCATCACCAAGTTGTATGGGGCTACTTCCATCGTCAACAAGGCCAATATTGAGAAAGGAAGGGTCTCATTCTGCGTTCATTTGTTTTCATTCTGCTTTCAGTTCAATTTCATTTCATTCTGCTTTCTTCTGACAGATAGAGCCATGGAGTCTTGGCCGCGACCTCCCCAACTGGTTCCACAAGCATGCCACTGAGCTACTGGTTTTGTGGATGCTTGATTTCTGAATAGGCGAACAAAACCCTAGCGGTTCCTCTGGACCTGATAGAGCCATGGGTTCTTGGAAGGGGCCACACCGACTGGTTCAACAAGCGGGCAATTGAACCAGTGTTTTTGTTGTTGCTTGATGTCTGAGGAGCCTAACAAAAGCCCTCCAGAAACGCTTTTGTTCCGGTCACTTCAGAAAAACACGGCAATAATAACAACAATACAACAAGGCAAGTTCGGAGTATTGCAGCTACATTATTGTGCCTTTATATTTTTTGTGTGACGTTTGAATGTGCAAACAAAACCCAGGCGGCTCCCTTTGACGTTTGACGTGAAAAGCCATGGGTTCGTGGTGCCACATCGCTGGTTCAAGCGAACAGTTGAACCAGTGGTGTTTGTTTTGTTTGATTTCTGAGCGGGCAAACAAAATCTCTCCAGACTCAATGGATCCCTGGAAATTGCAGGGCTTCTTGGCGGTCGAGAATCCACAACAAATTCTGTACATGTCATGCTGGTTGTAAAATGTGCTGGCTTTCGTCTTCCCTTCTCAGGCTGACTTTTTTTACAATACTGTATACTATTTTCTATATATATATATATACAAACTGCAAAAACCAGAATTGAAGAGCAACCAATACATTTGCTTTGGTGTCAGAAATCTGCATAAGTGCAGCGTAAACCAATTCACTTTACACTGCCAAAATGATTTTCATATGTTGCCGCTCACCGCCCCGGGTCGCGCATGCAACCAGTCTGTTGGACTCAGTGTGTGGCCTGGAAAACAGGTCACGAGGAAACTGTGACTGTGAAGTGTTGCGTAAGCCGAAGCTGCGAAGCTCACGTGGAAGCTGCCGTGGGTCGCGGCGGTGGCAGTGAGGAATCTGATGACAGGGTTTGAGGCCGTCGATGTTGAGAGCTTCTGATGAAAAGAGATCTTTTCATGCTTGGCATTTGCGCCTTGCAGGCCTGATGACGGATCCGGCCAATTTGGTCAACAACTTCACTCGACTCACATACAGTGCAGAGGCCCGACTGGGATTTGAAGGTGTTAAGCGTAGTTTAGTCGAGTGGAGGAGAATGTTGTAGGCCTTCGTGGCTAGTTAGCAAATGGGTTCGTGAGGCGTTCAGCTAGAAACTTCCAACAGGTAGATGACCGTCATGTGTAGGATAGGTTTTTTGATGTTCTTGGTCAACTTCTACTACGCATATTTGGTCTTGTGTACTTGCGTGGAGGTTTATTTTTGGTAGCCGCATATTGCTCAACACAGGCGGCACATGGCGACACATGAACCACATTCCATTCGTTTTCTCTTCGGTTCAGAAGATGCCTAGAGGTTCACCAAATCTTCTCCTTCGCCTTTAGAGGCCTTCAATGATGATGGAGGCTACGCCACCTCCTGTGCCATTTGCTTGGCGGATTTCGAAGAGCAAGACCACATCGTTTTGGCTCCATGCGCCACTGCGAAACACGTGTTTCATAGGCGCAAAATGGGCGGGCAGCTGTTGCAAGCTGTTGCATGATTCCTTAGGAGCGCCTGAGCGGGAGTTCTTATTCTATCTTAATCTATCTTATTTGCGCTAGGTTTTCAAACGACTTGGCAAACCTTAGACTGTTCCGCAGTGAGACTCAGTGGAGGTTCATGTCAAGCTTCTTCTCCAAATCATTTGTTTGTTTGCGGGGTGTAGCTGTGGAAAATGGCTTGCCTCGCAGGTCTTGTCTGGCGAGCTGGTTTCAAACCGCCCAGACCTGCCCGCTTTGCCGCAGCCATTTGCACTCACAGACCGCGACCTTGCCCTCGTCATCGCATCTGGGTGAGATTGGACGGTGTGACCAAGCTGAAGTGACTATCCCGTGGCTGGCTATTTCACGATTCATTCAACATATCTTATGTTTTGATAGGTTTTGTGCATGCCGAATGTTTTTCTTCCATCATCAATGTTCCGAGATATTCTGAGGCAACGAGAGGTGCCCCTCACTGCCTAAAAGTATAAGAATGAAACATACAAAATATATTTATTCAATATAGATTTAAATATATATATATATATTAGCCCAGCAAGACCCCAAACAGTGTAGAGTGTATATCAAACGGACTTTAGTGTCAAGGGATGAGCGCAGGGGAGGTGGAAGTAGAGAGAGAGCAGCGCCCGCGAGCACGGAGTAGTAGGAAGTAGAAGGTGAGGCTTGAACCCCGATAGAGTAGGAGGAAGTGGTAGGATGAGGAGGAAGGAGGAGAAAGTAAAAGTGCATGTCGGAAATGTCAAAATGCAGCATCCAAGCGCCCCTCTTTTTCCGGGCATGGCGTGCGGGACGAAACTGCGTCGCGGAACGCAGACGAAAAGTGACAGAGCTCGGGACAAGAGTCTACGCAGCGTCGCGGATCCGCGGACAGTAGGCGCAGCCAGCGTGCATCTCTGTCAAACGGCCGATGGTCATTTGTGCGGAAGCTGTCACAGCAGTGTCCCCAGTAGTGCGAATGAAACCAGTGTCGCGGAGCCACGGACAGCGGCTGAGCTTAATCCCGTTGCAATGGACGTAAGTCGAGCGTGGAATCTTTGAAGAATGAGATGGAATATATAATTATTAGGGTATTATAATCGATATATATTTTTGAAATTAATTTTGAAATACACATTCTGGGTGCTCGGGTTAACTTGTCTCGAATGGCATGAATTTGTGCCAGATGAGGTGTACCCTTGGGGGAAAGCTTGATTGGGCTACCTCTTTGTATGTATGTTGTTGATGATCGCAGGTTGAGAATTCGATTAAACCGCAAGGGCACACTATTGATTTTGTCTTAAGTTATTGTATTCCCAAGTGCGTCGTTGCGATTTCATGTTTTTGGCTTCATTATATTATGACTAGGGGTTTTCACGAAAGCTAGCGAAGCTAGCTGGAGTTACTCTTGCGATAGCAAGGTTTCCTTCGACCGGGTGCAAATCCTAACCCCTGATTATTTAGGTCGAAGACCCCCCCCCCCCCCCCCCCCCCTCTGAAAAGTAGAGCCTACCTGTACAGGGTTCCACTCCAACAGCCGATATAGTGTGTCCATACTTGACTGCTTCAAGGCTCAAAGAACAAGAGGATAAGACTCTGCGCATAAAAGACACTAGCGGTCTGCACCTCTACCGTGTACGCCCTAGTCGCTCTTTCAGTGGTAGCGGAGCTGTGATCCTGGAAGACCCAGGTGAGCTCCTTTCCTAGGCATAGACTTGCTAGTGGGCAAACGGCCATGGATTGGATTGACGACTGGGAAGAGCCTGATGCGGATGTGGCTTATGAGCCAGCAGCCTACGTGAATAGGCATGTGAGAAGAGAACCAGCAGCGATAGCTATGACAATACAGGTCACTACAAAGGTGCCCCCATCTTATGATGGAAAGACTTCATGGTTTTCCTATGAGGATGCCATAGACGATTGGTGTGATATCACCGAGCTGGAGGATGAGAAGAGAGGACCAGCATTGAGAAACCGACTAGAAGGAGAAGCAGCTGTATACAAGCGAGGTTTAGACAGAGATGCATTGAAGGCTAATGAGCCACTAGGAGCTGGAGTAGATTACTTCAAGAAAGTACTACGACCATATTTCGTGAAAGGATCAACCAATGTATTCCTGTATAGGTTTATGCAATTCGTGCGCTTCAATCGAGGATCAGCTGACATGATGAAATGGATGACAAGATTCCAGATTTTACTCCAAAGGCTTATGAGCAGTTGGATGGACATGTTAGAACCAGTCATTCAAGCACATCCACAGGTCCTAGCTTAGATGCAGGTAGATGCAGCGTTGACTGGAATAGCACCAACGGCAGAAAGGATTCAGGAAATCATGCAGACCATCAATGGGCAATATGAGGACTTTTCATTAGAACGAATTTCCTCTAGGAGAAAATTTCATTGCCTTACTCATGCTGTCACTTGTAGATTTGTCTCAGGACTAGCGAAACACTTTGATTTCTTTGATGACTCATCGTGGCAGGGTCCTGCAGCAATACACCACAACAGAGTTGAGGACAGTATTCATTGAGATGTTCTGCACAATAAAGATTTCAGTAGACAATCCTTTGATGCAGCCAACAGGTGCTGCAGGTAGAAGATCATTTCTCGTACTAGACGAAGGAGAACTCGATGGTACATTTGGCTATTGGGCCGAAGATGAAGAAGATGGAACAGAAGGATTTTTAGATGCCCTGGACGATGTCTTTTGGGTATATGATGATCAAAACTTCTCGTGGTTCCAAAGGAGATTCTAAGGAAGAAGAGCCAGAAAAGGTAAAGGAAAAGGAAGAAGAAAAGGAAAAGGTAAAGGAAGATCAGGCCGTAGATTCTTCAGACCTCGTGGAAAAGGAAAAGGAAAGAGACGAGGTAAAGGCCATTTTGCTGATGAGCAACAGACAACTTTTCTAGATGAGTATTATGAAGAGAATCCTTATGAGGACACTTGGGAGTCAAACCAAGTAGCATATGATGCCATTTTCGCCAAAGATATGAATGACTATCTTCAAGGAGAATATAATGATGCCAATGACTTTTGGCAACAGCTTGAAGAAGTATGGTTTTCCCACAAAGGAAAAGGAAAAGGCAAGAGAAAAGGCAAGAAAGGAAAAGGAAAAGATAAAGGAGATGGCAAACAAGATGCAAACTATGCAAATCAACAACAGCTACGTTCTTTACCTGCACCTTCAAGATCTTCATAAGCATCAGGAGGTCAACAAGGTTTCTTTGCACATTGTGTGACAGCAGCAGCTGAAGTCTATGACAGTGAGATGAACTTGCTGTCAGGCATGATGACCTCATGTCAAGATGAAGCTGACTGCGCGGTCAACAATGGTGAGACGATCTTCAATGGCATGAGTGCCCCTGTGAGGTACTCTTTGTCAAAGGAGATGCTCACAAAGGCTCCTGCTCCTGATGGCTTTGCGCTTATGAGCGCTGAGGAAGAAGTGAAGGAGATGCAGGCCATTTCATTTTTGACTGAGAATCGCTTCCCGCCGACTATTGCAATCCTGGACATTGGATGCACTAGAGCTATGGGATCAAGGCGAGCAGTCGACCATTTTTGCAACTATGTCGACAATCACCCAGATTGGGGATTATGGTACTCTTTTGAGGCTACCAAGAGCAAGTTTTACTTTGCCAATTCCCAGAAGGCTACTTGCTCTCAGAAACTGGTGATTTACATGTATGATCGTGCATGGACGATCCACCATACAGAGTTCGACATAGTTGAAGAAGGAGAAGTCCCTTTGCTTATGAGCTTGCCATAGATGAGGAACTTAGGCTTTGAACTCAGGCTGACACCTCAACATGCTTATCTGACATCGATGCCTCTTGGTATCAAATATTTGGAGTTGAAGGTTGCAGCCAGTACTCATCTTGTCTTGGACTTCCAAGATATTGCATGGTATTTGTCTGACGTGAATTTGCAGACTCGGCGCGAGAAGAGTTTTTACTCTCACTTCACTCACTATGAATATGGTCATATTTCTGTTGACCACAATAGTGATGAAGATGTAGCTGAACATGCATATCCTGTGGTTGACTACTGGGAAGTAGATGTTTACAAGAGAGAACTGATACGTCACCACAAGGATTATAGAAAGATTCTTTTTCCAGCAACTAAGTCCTGTCCTGTAGACACTGACTTACTGGAAGACTTGCGACTGACAATCATCAAGAAGAAGAAAGGAGGAGAAGAGATCAAGAAGCAAGATGATTGGCGCAAGGCAAAATGGAAGGACCTACAAATTGGCTATGAATGGCGTGGTAGAACAATTTTTAAGTTCAAGCCAGATGCCAAAATTCCAGATCTAAAGATCAGGAAGGCTGGCATTGAGCACCGTGGCATTGGTGATCCCGATGCAGTGGTGCGCTCCTCCTCAGAGAAGGTTCCCATTGCAAAGGACAGGGAACCAGGCTTCTCTTCAGAGAAGGAAGGTGCACCATCCAGTGCCGCGGAAAAGCCCGTGCCGCCAAAGTTTCGGTATACTTCCAAGGGTTTTGATCCATTTTGGAAGGGACACAAGTCGAAACCATCTGAGCCTCAGAATGATTTAAAGGGTGATGATCTTGAGGAGTATGCTCCCTCAGAACCACCTGAGAGGCCAGAAGGTGAACTTGTAGAAATTCCTAAAGCATCAAAAGGACCATCAAGTGATAAACATGAACCACTTGAACCAGGTGATGGCGCTCTTGAGCCTAGGCGGATTTCAATCCCATTACCTGGTAGTGAAGTTGTTGCAATGACACCGGCATATAGGAAGATGTTACAGAGACTGGAGGACAAGGTAGAGCTTTATAAGCTTCATGTGAAGCACTACCATATGAGTCCTACTCAGTTTCGTAGACGTGTTTCTATGTTGAAGCTTCCTGACTCTGTTTTAGAGAAGTATGAATCAGTTGTCAGGAACTGCCGTGTTTGTAACACTTCAGTGGCACCTCCGCCACGAGCCAGAGTCTCCGGTATTAGAGCTTCATGTTTTGGTGATGTTGTTTTTGCTGATCATTGTGAGGTTGAACTTCACAAGAACAAGTATATCATCTTACTTGTTCTTGATGGTGCCACAAATCTTCTCTGGGCTACGGCACAGAAAGACCTCATAGATCAAACCACCATCCAAGCATTGAGGCAATGGTCTGATGAGAACAACTGTGTTCCAAAGGCCATTGTAGGAGACGAAGCCTTTTTCACCGATGCTTTTGTTGAATACTACAGGTTCCATGGTATACAACAATGTCCTTGTGGGCCAAGAACTCCTTGGCCGAACCGAGCAGAGACAGCTGTACGTTTGTTCAAACGTATGTGGCATGTTATGAAGGTAGATCTGGATGACCCACGTTTTCGTGGTGTTACGGTCAGAGAAGTGGTCAAGAAGGTAGTTTGGGCAAGAAATTGTCAGTTGACTATCAGTGGATATTCACCAATAGAGATAGCAACTGGAAGATGTCCACCAGATCTTTTTGACCTTGAGACCGCAAGCCCTGAGCAATTGTCAGCTAATGCC